AAAAAAAAAAAAAAAAAGAATTGGCAGCCAACCATTTTTTGAAACAAGACTCAAAGCATGTGGGGTGGAGCTGAGCATACACATAGGCATGGATACCCTTGCACTGAAGTAAAATTAGAGTCTGTAACACAAAGTTCTGTGCTTCTCTGCCTCCAGAATTTCTCCCCAGTGGATTTCAAGGAAGAGAGGACATATTTAAAATAAATCAGTCCTGGTTTTATCCTTCCCTGTGGCTTATTTTATTGAGCACAATGTCCTTAAGGTTTATCCATCTAGTATGTCAAATTTTTTAAGTCTGAATAATTCCCTTGAGTATATGTTACATTTTGTTTAGCCATCTCGTTGATGATGGACATCTGAAGGGATTCTTCTTTTTGTTGTTATTGTTGGTTGTGGGGCTTGAACTCAGGGCCTGGACAATGTGTTTAAGCCTCTTTTTGCTCAAAGCTAGCACTCTATCACTTGAGCCCCAGCACCACTTCCGGTTTTGGGATGGTTAATTGTAGAGTCTTATGGGGACTTTTCTGTCCTGGCCGGCTTTGAACCACGATCCTCAGATCTCAGCCACCAGGGTAGCTAGGATTTCAGGTGTGAGCCACCAGCCCCTGGCTTGTTTCAACTTTTTGGGGCAAAATAGGTTGACAGTTTGATCTTTGTGAAAACGGTGGCTCTGAACAGTGGCAGACTCAAGCAAGTAAACCTTTCACTGCAGTGGAATCATCTCTTCTTCCCAACCCCTATTTCTGTTAGGTTACTGTAGCTATGTCAGCCTCCCAGTTTAAGGAATTTGTTTTTAAATCCCCTTTACCTTTACCCTTTCTTCCTTGGCTGGACTTTGTCCCACCAGGTTTATTTATAAACCATGCAAAGCTCATTGACAAGACAAAGCTCTCAGCAAGCTACCTTTCCACCTCAGTCTCCTCAGAAAGACACTCCTCCTGGGAAGGCTGGCCGGCCAGAGTAGAGAGCCATGGCTGAGGACATAAGCAAGAGAGACTCCATTAAGATGAGTATAAAGGGTTGCCAGACGAATAACGGATTTGTTCAAAATGAAGACATCCCAGAGCTGGACCCGGATCCTGGCAGCTCTGGCGACAGCCCGCCGCACAAGGCGGTGGACATCCAGGATTCAGATGAGTCTGGCATCATGAGCGTCCGGCCCTTTGCTGGGATGCCCAAGGAGGTGCTGTTCCAGTTCTCCGGCCAAGCCCGCTACCGCGTGCCCCGGGAGATCCTCTTCTGGCTCACCTTGGCTTCTGTGCTCCTGCTGGTTGCAATCACCATAGCCATCATCGCCATCTCTCCCAAGTGCCTGGACTGGTGGCAGGCTGGGCCCATGTACCAGATCTACCCGAGGTCTTTCAAGGACAGCGACATGGATGGGAATGGAGACCTGAAAGGTGCGTGCTCTGAGACAGTTGCTTTCTGTTGTCCCCTTCCTTGAAACCGGGTGATGCCAAGGTTCCATGGTAAGCACATTCCAGTGTGACTGCTCACCCGCCTTTCTCTGTGTTCATGATATGAAAAAAACTCACTCAGCAGAACCCAGAGAGGTGAACGGCTATTTGCCGAAGGCCTTTGGTCCAAAAGAGTTATTCCATTTATTATGCATTGAGGGCATATGCTTGCCCTTATTACCAGGAACAAGTTTCCTCCTAAAGTCACTTTTTTGCTTCCTGTGCACTTTACCATTGGACCTATCAGAGCAACATCTGGGAATTGCTCTCCCAGTATGTGATATGGCTGGTTGTCTTTCTAGTTTATATTCTACAACAACAACAACAAAAGTAATGTGTTTTAAAGATGAAGTTCCAAGTTTAAATCCTGAGCGAGGTAGCCAAACAATAAAGGCATTGGAATGTACTGGTTGTTACCAAGATCAAAGATTATTTTTTAAACATATCCATATTAGTAAGAAAATAGAAATGAATACTTATTTTTTGATTAAGCTAACAACTTGCCAGAGAGTTTTACATATAGAATGTTCTTATAACTTTATTGTTCCAACTCGCCCACTTTTAAGAGTGAAATTGCAGGCTGGGTTGTAAGTCAGTGGGCGGAGTGCCTGCAGAACAAGCACAAGGCCCTAACATCCAACTCCAGAGCCGAAGGACAAAGAAGGAAAATGAATTTGCGCTAGCTAGTATGCATAAACTGGAACTGAGTTGGGGAAACTGGCTGGTGTAATTACCCAACTTTGGGGCCAACAATAAGAAACAAACAAAATTTTTATGATGATTACTGCTTGAAGAAAATAAAAAAAGATGATGATACTGTGGGAAGTAGGCTTAGGCTTAGTCTGCCTTTAAAATGTTATATATGAAATCTCCAACTTAATTACTAAAAGACTTTTCTCTGTATACCCTTATCATATCCATTATCTCTCCCCCACCCCACCTCCCAAAGCCTTGAATGTACTAGGCAAGGGCTCTCTACCTACTCCAGACCTTCATTGAACAGTAACATAACTATTTTGAGGGTGCAGCTCAAATCCTTTATCTTCATTAGCTTCTATCTAACCTTTTTAATCAGAGCATAGCTCCTATCCAGATTCCTGTGGTGCTTTGGGCTGTGTTTATATCACGCTTTGGTTCTACACTGGAATGTATCAGAGTGACTTCCCTCCTGCCCCATGACCCCAGCAACCTGCAGTGTCTTACATACTAGGAGCTTAGCAAAAGTGGTGCTTTAACTAAATACAGCCTAAATCCTTAAATCCAGAGATACACTTTCTACCTGCTTTCCCTATCTCTTTCTAGATAGACCTACTATTCCCACAAACATGGCAGTTTCTAATCTATTCTTAAAATTTGCATTTCCAATTACTTTTCCTTGAGAAAAAGATTTCTGTAATCAGTAGCTTTGGTCCTTGAAATTGTTGTTATGGAGATACTGCTCCAGGTTTGTCTTTGATTTCCCACATATCCTGGGATCCTGTTTACTTGATTTTCACCATCATGTTCCTTTATTTCTCCTTTCTCTTCCCTCTCCCATTCTTCCTCTCTTTTTCTCTCTGAAATGGGGATGGACACATATAGAGGACACATTCTGCTGCTGAGCCTGTACTTGTTTTGTCTTGTTTTAAATATATATGGCATTGGTTCCAATTTAAATCAGAATCCTTCTGATATCTCTCAGCTACCTGATGAGGAACAAAAAGAAATAGTCTCTTACCCAGGAAAGCCCAGATCCCAGGAGTGGGTTGACATTGTGCTTTGGTCTCAGTGACTTCCATAGTGCCCTCTCATAGGCCCTAGGAAACAGCATGGAAAACACACAGAAAGTTGTTGGCGATTAAATTCTAGACTCAAGACTCTAAATATGCATTCAGGACTCAGAGCTACCAGTAGAAGCACAGCCAGTGTAGATGTAATTGTTGTTTAATTCCACGTCTACCAATGGCTGGATGTGGTGGTGTATCCCTATTATCCCCAGTTTATTAAATATCCACCTCCCCCACTACCCCACCCAGTTATCCTCAGGGAAAGCTTCAGTAGGAAGACCTCATCCCAGGCCAGTGTAGGCATAAAGTAAGACGTAATTATAAAAATAACTAACACAAACAGGGACTGCAGGCATGCGTGGTTCAACTGGTTGAACACCAAGTATGAGGTCCTAAATTCAATCATCAGAACTATAAAAGTAAAAATAAAAGGAAAAGAAATAGGTGAAATTAATCATGTTTTGCTCAATCCAGTGTATTTATTATATCATTTCAGTATATAACTTGTGTAAAGTTTTAATGACACATTTTACCTTTTTGTGTTGTTGTTCTAGGTCTTAAAAATCTGATGTGTATTTTGCTATTACAGAACATCTCAGTTCAGACAAGTCACATTGCAAGTGCTCAAGAGCCACACGGGGCAAGTGGCTGTGGTGTGGGCCAGTGCCACTTAGATGACCACGAGTCATTCTGCCTTGTTCCTTGGTACTAGTCTAGCACCTGGCCTGGAAACCATGCATAGGATGAATTAATAGTACTGTGGTCTTTTGTTTTAAATATGGCATCTGAACAAGTAGCATGATTTTTTTTGTTATACATCCATGTTATTCATAGACTTCGCTATTTGACTTTTACTCAAATTCAACAAAATTCCAAATGTTTCTGCCTTCAATTTAACTATTTTCATCTTGGATGTGTTTATTTTCAGCCCTTCAAACAAAAAAAAAGTGGGATTTATTCATGGTCTTGGCTTTTTTTCCTTTAGGTATTCAAGATAAACTGGACTATATCAGTACTTTAAATATAAAAACTGTTTGGCTTACTTCCTTTTATAAATCATCACTTAAAGATTTTAGATATGCAATTGAAGATTTCCAAGAAATTGATCCTATTTTTGGAACAATGACAGATTTTGAGAACCTGATTGTGGCCATCCATGATAGAGGTAAAGTGACTGGGAGTTGGGTGGGGTAGGGATAAGGGATTAAAAAAAAAGTACTTCTCTAAATACTTAAAATATTTATATCTCTTAACTATTACATATTATTCTAGTAATATGTAATAATATTACATATGATTCTAGTATGCTAATTTCCTAATATTTGAACTATTTTCACTCATTAGGTTTAAAATTAATAATTGATTTCATCCCAAACCATACCAGTGATAAACATGCTTGGTTTCAGTTGAGTAAGAACCGGACTGGGAAATATACTGACTATTACATCTGGCAAGACTGTATTCATGAAAATGGCATCACCACACCACCAAACAACTGGGTAAGTGCTGGCCCACCTGATTGGCTAATGGACAACAGCAGATCTGCAGTGACTGAACTAATTCTTTATGAAGCCCTCTAACAGAAAAGCATGAAAAAGGACCTAGTTTATAGGAAGGTGAAAAAGAAATAGAAAAACATTCCCAAATATGATTTAGATTTTTGATTACATTATACATCAGGTGTATTGTAGCAAATTTTGAAACTTACTCTCATTCCTAGCCTCTCACTCCTAGCCTCTCCTTCTCATATTCCATTCCTTCCCATTCTGTCCAGCTTGGATTCCATGTCTCATTACTACAGTAACAGGTTATTATCCATATACCTTTGCTTTTTTGACTTTTTTACTCACCCCCCCAAAAAAAAATTATCAGGGAATTCATACTTGCTAAGCAGGTGGTCTACCACTAGAGTCATACTCTCAGATCTTGACTCCTTTATTGGACAAAATCCTAGCCATAAACAAAGCAGACCATCATCCTTCTCTTTACTATTTACCTTCTACTCAAATTCAACAAAATCCTAATATTTTTACCTTTTTTTTTTTGTCAGTTTTGGAGCTTGACTCGGAGGGCCTGGGTGCTGTCCCTGTACTCTTTTGCTCAAGGTTGGTGCTCTACCACTTTAAGCCACAGCTCTACTTCTGGTTTCCTGGAGGTTAATAAGAGATAAAAGTCTTATGGACTTTCCTGCCCAGGCTTTGAACTGCAGGCCTCAGATCTCAGCCTCTTGAGTAGCTAGGAGTACAGGTATTAGTCACTAGCACCCAGCATATTTTTACCTTTAATATAATTGTTTTGATCTTAAGACTTCATCATTTCTGAGGAGCATGGCCAACTTTATAGAGAACAGAAGCCATCAAGCCTGCCTGTCCCCAACCTTACCCTCTTCTGACCGGCTACTTTTACAACAGAGACCCTGCCCTCCTTGTCTAGGGTGACTACATTTAAAAAATAAGAATTTAAGATGCCATGCATAATCCCAGCTACTCAGGAGACTGAGATCTGAGGACCTCAGTCCAAAGCCAGCCTGAGCAGGAAAGTCTGTGAAATTCTTATCCCAATTAACCACCACAAAACCAGAAGTGGAGCTATGGGTCAAAGTGATAGAGTGCTAGCCTTGAGCAAAAAAGCTCAGGGACAGCACCTGGGCTCTGAGTTCAAGCCTCATGACTGACCAAAAAAAAAAAAAAAGAATTTAAGATGTGAATTAAATATAAGTTTGAGATATGCAATGATTTTTAGTATTAAACTATTGTATGGACAATACTTACACAAGGGCCTTCCATATCTGTTTTATCTATATCTACAGATCCAATCACTTGCAAATGCAAAATATTTTAAAAAAATTTGAATCTGTAATGAATTAATAAAGACTTGTTTCTGGTCATTGTTCCCTAAACAATACATATAGCAGCTATTTACAATAGCAAGTACACTATTTAGAGTGGCCTCAAATGAGTCCTTATAAAATAAAAAAAGTATTACATACTTCTAATATATAATGTCATGAAGTAAATATTTCCATCCCAAAGGAGAAGAATGAGGACATAGAAAGATGAGCAAGGCTAAAACCCACCAGAACAAATGCTACATACTATAACTCTACATCTGGCATCTGGGGTACCTGGTGTCATAAGAGTTGCAGTAGGCTTGTTCAATCTAGCTCAGGTAGTCATGCTGTTTGCAGCCCAAATGACCTCTGTCTTGGGTTGGCTCTACTTGCTACGTAAGGCATTCCTCATTAGACATTTATGTTGTGGTTCTCCAACATTCTGGGTTTTACATTGTACCATGACAGCCTAATGTATCATCCTCTCTGGGGCTGTCTTCAAAGAACCAGACAATGCTACCCATGGTCTGGCCTTCCAGGCCTTCCTTTGAAATCTTGGTGGCTGCCTCTATGACCCTATAACTCTATAGTCTACATGACCAATATCAGTGGATAGTGTCCGGGTCAGCTACCAGCTTACTAGTAAGACTTTTTTGTCATTTGAGAGAATAACTGAAAGGAGGAAGGATTTATTTTGTTCATGTTTCAGAGGTTTTATTCAGTCACGATAGGATGGTGGGGAGGGTTTGGCAGTCTTTAGGAGAATGTAAGAAGCAGAGCAAAGACATAAAGGGGACAGAGGACATATGTTTTTCAAAGACACTTCAGTTATCTACTCACAGCAATGATTTTCCTGCCATAGTTGTTTTTTTTTTAATCATTTCCCAGGGCTGGGAAGATGGCTCAGTTGTAGAGTGTTTGCCTTGCATGCATGAGGCCCTGGGTTCAATTCCTCAGCACCACATAAGCAGAAAAAGCCGGAAGTGGCGCCATGGCTTAAATGGCAGAGGGCTAGCCTTGAGCTGAAGAGCTGAAGGACAGTGCCCTAGCCTTGAGCTGAAGAGCTGAGGGACAGTGCCCAGGCCCAGAGTTCAGGCCCCACCACCAACCGAAAAAAAAATCATTTCCCAGTAGTCCATTCAGAGTTTTAATTCATCAGTAAATTAAACCATTGATTAGGTCAGAGCCTTCATATTCTGATTGTCTTTGGCAATGCCTTCATAGGTGTACTTTACTAAAAGGTGTACTTTACTAATCTCCTAGATATCTCTCAATACAATCAAGTTGATAATCAAGGTTAACAAACACAAATATAGATAATCTAGAGATGATTTAAAGATTGTGAAAGAGCACACGTAGGAAAATGCAAATACTATACCATTTTATTTAAGAGACTTGAATATCTACAGATTTTGGTATCTAAGAGGAGATCCCTGGCATCAATAAATAACCTGTAGATGCCAAGGAATGGCTATACTAAAATAGTAACTTTTTTTTTTTTTTTGCAAATACTGGGGCTTGAACTCAGGGCCTTATGCTCTTGCTTAGCTTTTTTGCTCAAGGCTGGAGCTCTACAATTTGAGCCAATAGCTCCTCTTCTAGCTTTTCTGCCTGGGCTGGCTTTGTACCTTGATCCTCAGATCTCAGCTTCTACCTGGAGCTATCAAAGACCAGCATTAAGCATTGTTTTCTGAAATTCAGATTCATCTATCTTTCTTGTATTCCTTCTGGCAATTCTATTTTTGTCTCAGTCCAGCTATGACTTCTATTTTGGTCTGCTTTATCTTTTACTTTTCCTTGGGATCATCTTACCCCACTGCATTCCCTCTTCTCTTCTTAACCTTTGTAAATATTTAAACATTCTGGCTCCTGGACATTGACTTTTTTCTGACCCAAGGACATTTGGTGTTGACTTGCTTCAAAACTGACTGTGTGATCTTCCTACAATTTCTGATACTTCAAGCTTGGTGACTGCTACTACCTTGGAGCCTGGGAGTCAAACTATCAGGAAACCATGAGAGTTTTACCTCTTTAATTTTTTCCCCTCTTTTTCACTTATTTATTAAAATGACAATGATATTGGCAAACAAAGTAAGTGCTTATTTTGTGCTATGCTCTGCTAAGTGCTTTGTATTCATTAATTTGTTATGCCTACCCTTCAATTTGAAGAATTAGATGTTAATTCCTGTTTGTAGACAGGCAGATTGAGGTCACATAGCTAGTAAGTGAAAGGGCTAATGACCCAATGTAGTCAGTGCAGTGCCACAGTCCGCTCTTAAAAATAGACATATGCACCTCAAACCCTATCTTCTCCTGATTACAGAGTACTAGCTACCTCTTTTGGTATCAGTTTTTCCACCCTTCCATCAGCTCATCACTGCAGCCTTAATTTTAGATTAATTTAATTGCTAGAATATTTTATCTAATTACTAATGTAGTATTTGTCTAATTGCTAAGTATGTTTAACATCTTTTCATTCATTTATTCCTAGGTGTCCATTTCTGTTTAGGCTTTCTTCCCCAATTTCTTTTAGGTTATTTGTTGATGTTGGTTAGACAAACTGTAAAGATTTCATCTTGAGTTGTGCTTAGGTAGACCATGTGGTAAGCTACAAAGGGTCCATTTCCTTGAAAGACAACTGAGAATACTCAGTTTTAGTCAGTTACGAGGACAATGTGGACTTTGTATGACTGGGTCTTATGTAGAACCCCCTAGTTTTTAAAAGTTTTCCATATGCTTTTTTTTTTTAACAGGAAATGAACAAAGACCTGAGATGGAGCCCAAGAAACTCATTTTAAGGGCCTTGCAGTAGCCTAAGAAGCTAGATATTTGAGGGCCAGCAGGAGAGTCTTGACATGGAGTTATAGACCCAAGTATTCTAAAAAGAGGAAATAAGCCAATGTCAAACGCTGCTGGGTATCAGTACTCAAAGCTGCCAGATTTTTATTCCAGAGGACAAATACATTTTTATAGTGAATGGTTCTAATAAAACTTTGTTTAGACGTAATTTTTTTTTGCCAGTCCTAGGGCTTAAACTTAGGGTCTGGGCACTATCCCTGAGCTGCTTTTGCTCAAAGCTAGCACTGTACCACTGTACCACTTGAGCCACTCCCAGCCTTTTGTGTTTATGTGGTACTGAGGAATCAAATCCAGGGCTTCATACATGCTAGGCAAGCACTCTACCACTAGGCCACATTCCCAGCGTAGACATAATTTTAAATATCCCATATATTGGAGTTCAAGCTGCAAGACTAATAGAGCATGTCCTTCTCCTCCATTGATGACCATTTGTTTTGTTTTAAATATGAGTCTAGAGCCTGGACTCATATTTGTTGAATCCAACAAAATATAATAGAGATATCTGCTCTCTGAACAGCACTTACTGAACAAATACATCACAGTCACATTTATATAGGCATTAGGCCAATGGGTGAAATTTAGGGGAATTAATGTAGCTCTTTCTAGAACACAACTAGGAAGAAAAGAAAAAAGATTTATGCAGCTTTGTCCACAGAGCCTGAATAAATGATTTGACTCAGTCTTTCTGAGCAATAGTCATATAAATAAGCTGGGTAACTAATGTGTTTCTTCTGTTTGCTAGTTGAGTGTATATGGAAACTCCAGTTGGCACTTTGATGAAGTACGAAAGCAATGCTATTATCACCAATTTCTGAAAGAGCAACCTGATTTAAATTTCCGAAATCCTGATGTTCTAGAAGAAATAAAAGTGAGTATCAACCCCCACAGTCTTTCTTCTCTATTAGTTGGAACTAAAGTGGTTTATTTGAGGCACTCTATATTGAACAACAAGAAAACCAAGTAGTATAATTAAATTCTCAGATGCAAGTACAAATACTTAGCAATGTTTTTTGTTTTTCTTATTTTTTTATTGTGAAAATACTGTACAGAGGGGTTACAATTACATGGGCAAGATAATGAGTACATTTCTTATCAAGCATTGTAGCCTCCTCCTTTGTTTCAGAATAGTCTAAATGAAAGTAGGATGTGTGAAATACCTGGTACTTAACTCTGAGTTGCTTCTTGGCCTCTGACAATGAGCTAGTATGGAAGTGAGAATATTTACTTTGGGGTCTGGCTCCTATAGCTGTAGTGGGCCTTGGGGTGTATTATTGGCTTTGTCCATAACTCAGCTCCTCACGTATGAAATACAGTTGATGATAATGTGTCAGAGGGCTGTCTGGAAGCTTAGATGAGATAATCATGCACGGTACTTCTGGATATATTTTGTAAATATTAAGTTACTATCCACTCATTGTCAGACCCTGCTCTAAGAACTAGGGGATATAGCAATGAGTAAAAGAAAAGCCCAGCACTCTTGAGTTCCCCCTCTGAGAGGACATTGACAAATATAGATATGACACATGGGGAAGTGGTAAATGCTCTGAGGAAGGAATGATAAGAGTTCCCAGTAGAGATGGATCTACTATAGGAAGTGATTAAGAGATACCCCTGCAGGCTGGGAAGGTGGCTCAGTGGTAGAGTGCTTGCCTTGCATGCCTGAGGCCCTGGTTCAATTCCTCAGCACCACATAAGCAGAAAAAGCCAGGAGTGGCACTGAGGCTCAAGTGGTAGAATGCTAGCCTTGAGCTGAACAGCTGAGGGACAGCGCCCAGGCCCAGAGTTCAGGCCCCACAACCGGACCCAAAAAAAAAAAAAAAAGAGTTACCCCTGGGAAGACAGCCCAGGCAGAAAAGTCTCCAGGAGACTCTTATCTCCAATTAACCACTCAAAAAATGGAAGTGGAGCTGTGGCTCTAAGTGGTAGAGCCCTATCTTTGAGCACAAAAAGGCTCAGGCACAGCGCCTAGGCCCTCAGGTCAAGCCCTACAACCAACAACAACAAAAAAAAAGAAGAAGAGAATTCTAGGTGGAAGGAATAGCAAGTATAAAGATCTGGTGTTAAAGCAGGGTATGTTGGCTCACACCTGTAATCCTAGCTACTCAGGAGGCTGAGATCTGAGGATCGTGGTTCAAAGCTAGCCTGAGCAGGAAAAAGTCTGTGAGACTCTTATGTCCAATAAATCACTAGAAAACTGGACGTGGCACTGGCTCAAGAGGAAGAGCACTCGCCTTGAGCTAAAGAGTGCAGGGATAGTGCCCAAGCTGAGTTCAAGACCCAAGACCAACAAAAAAATCAAGCTGGGCATCGGTGGCCCATGCCTGTAATCCCAGCTACTTGGGAGGCTGAGATCTGAGGATCACAGTTTGAAACCAGCCCAGCAGAAAAGTCCCCATGAAACTCTTACCTCCAATTAACCACTCAAAAAATGGAAGTGGTGCCGGGCGCTGGTGGCTCACGCCTGTAATCCTAGCTACTCAGGAGGCTGAGATCTGAGGATCGCGGTTCAAATCCAGCCCGGGCAGGAGAGACCATGAGACTCCTATCTCCAATAAACCACCAGAAAACCGGAAGTGGCGCTGTAGCTCAAGTGGTAGAGTACTCACCTTGAGCTGAAGAGCTGAGGGTCAGCACCTAGACCCAGAGTTGAAGCCCCACGACCATCAAAAAAAAAAAAAGTAAATTTCAGATAACCAATTAAGATGGTATTATATACACACTTCTCAAAGTGCTCATTAGCTACCTGAAATTAAGATTTAACCGTGTATCCTGTATTTTTTCTAGCAGCTGTCCTTGTGTGCTGGAGAGGCATGAGAGCAAGAGGCAGGGAGCCAAGGCCTGAGTAGTAAGAAATGAGGCTCAGATAGTGCAAGGTCCATCCTGAGCATCTGTATCCTTCTGAGCTCCTGTAGTAACCTAGGCAACCTCAGTGGGCTCCTGCACACATAGTGCTGGCAGTTCTAACAATACCTGATGCACAGTTCACAGGAAATAGCAGCCATGTTGTTCTCATTCTTGCTGCTGCTGTGGCTGTTCTAAGTGGGCTAGGAGGCAGGTGGAGAGGAGACCACATAGAACAGATTTCAATGAGTATCTTTCTACAGCTCACCTTGTCAAGTGAAGAAGAGTCACCAGGGACACCTAACTCCCTTAGTTTATTATTCTTTCACTTTGTTCTTAACAGTTTTACTGAGATATAATAATCCATATGCCATACAACTTACCCCTTTCAAATGTATGATTCTGTGATTTTAGTATATTCACAGAATTGTGCATCCATCCCTATTAATTTCAGTGCATTTTCATCAAGCCTAAAAAGAATTCTAAGCTGGGTGATTTACATATCTGTAATGCCAGCACTCTAGGTGCTGAGGCAGAAGGATCTTGAATTTAAAGCTAGGCTAGGGTACTTGATGAAATGCTATCTCAGGAAATAAATATTAAAAAAAAACCCCTCTATAAGCATAGAAATTCCTCTCCATGGTCCTTCACTTTCTTTCTAAAAGCCTTGGAGGGCTGGGAATGTGGTTTAGTGGTCGAGTGCTTGCCGAGTGTGCATGAAGCCCTGGCTCAAGTGGTAGAGTGCTACCTTGAGCAAAAGAAGCTCAGGGACAGTGCCCAGGCCCTGAGTTCAAGCCCCAGGTCTGGCAAAAACAAAGCATTGGAGATCTGGGCACTGGTGGATCATGCCTGTAATCCTAGGTACTCGGGAGGCTAAGATCTAAGGATTGCAGTTTGAAGCCAACCTGGGCAGGAACGTCCCTGAGACTCTTATCTCCAATAAACCACTAGAAAATCAGAAGTGGCACTGTGGCTTAAGCAGTAGAGCGCTCACCTTGAGCTGAAGAGCTGAGGGACAATACCTAAGCCCAGAATTCAAGCCCCATGACTGAAAAAAAAAAAAAAGCATTGGAGACCACTTAGGACATTTCATATAAATGGAATCTTGTAATATATATTTCTGTGTCTATGATCTATATGTAGTTATAGCTATGCTATAACTAAAATGCTTTCCATAATGCTTACGCCACTTTAGATTTCCACTGGGGTTCCAGTTTCTCTACATCCTCACCAATAATTTTTGTTTTCTTTTTCTTTTTTTAAATTTTTTTGGGTCCGGTTGTGGGGCCTGAACTCTGGGCCTGGGCGCTGTCCCTCAGCTCTTCAGCTCAAGGCTAGCCTAGATCTACCACTTGAGCCACAGCACCACTTCCGGCTTTTTTCTTTTTGCTTATGTGGTGCTGAAGAATCGAACCCAGGGCCTCATGCATACAAGGCAAGCACTCTACCACTGAGCCACCTTCCCAGCCAATTTTTGTTTTCTTTAAAGTCATAGTTATCTTAGTGGGTGCGAAATAACATCTCATTGTGCTTTATATTTATATTTATCTAATAGCTAATAACTTTAGGAATTATCCATGTATTTATAGTTTATATGTCTTCATTGTAGACTGTCTATTTAATTTCTTTGCCCATTAAAAATCAGGCTTGTCTTTTTATTGTTGTTAAGTATTATACCATAATGTTCTATTATTATATTATATATTGTGTTGTTATATTATTGTTGTCTTTTCATATTCTGGACACATGATTTGCAAATACTTTTTTCATTCTCTGTGTATTCTTTTTTTCCTTCTTGATGTTCCCCTGAAGTATAAGAGGTTTTAATTGATGATGTCTAATTTTGTTGTTTCTCTCGTTGTAGGGCTTTTATTGTCTTATTTAATAACTACTGCTTAATATGTGAACTAAATCATGAGGATTTACTCTCTCTCTCTCTTTTTTTTTTTTTTTTTGCCAGTTATGGGGCTTGAACTCAGGGCCTCGCCTCTTAGTACTCAAGGCTAATACTGTACCACTTGAGCCACAGTGCCTCTTCTGGCTTTTTCTGAGTTTATTAAAGATGAGAATCTTACAGACTTTTCTGCCCAGGTTGGCATCAAACCACAGTCCTCAGATCTCAGCCCCCCCTAAGTAGCTAGAATTACAGGTGTGAGCCACCGGTGTCCAACTCACTCTTAGGATTTTTATTCTTTTGGCTCTTACATTTTAGTCAGTCTGTATTCCATTTTTAAAAATTATATAAAGTGTAAGGAGAAGATATCCAGCTTCATTATTTTACAGGTGGCTCTCTGATTACTCTAGATATGTGTTTTAAAAGACTATTCTTTCCCCCACTCTCTCCATTAAATTGTCTTACAGCTCTAGTTGAAAATCAACTGACCATGTATGGGTTTATTACTAGACTTTCAATTCTGTTATATTCATGTATATGTCTATTTTTTTTGTGTCAGTACCACATTGCCTGGATTACTATAGCTTTGTAGTAAGTTTTGAAATTAATAATAGAGTTATAGAGCTTTGTTGTTTTTCAGTATTGTTTAACTATTCTGAGTCCTTTGCATTTCCATATGAAGTTTTTTGTTTGTTTGTTTTTGCCAGTCCTGGAGCTTGACCTCAGGGCCTGGGCACTGTCCCTGAGCCACTCTGTGCTCAATGCTAACGCTCTACCAGAAACCACAGTGAAACTCCCAGCTTTTTCTGTTTATGTGGTACTGAGAAATTGAACCCATGCATGCTAGGCAAGCACTCTAAGCCACATTCCCAGCCCTCCATATGATTTTTTTTTTTTTTTACCGGTTGTGGGGCCTGAACTCTGGGCCTGGGTGCTGTCCCTCAGCTCTTCAGCTCCAGGCTAGCACTTTACCACCTGAGCCATAGTGCCACTTCCAGCTTTTTCTGCTTCTGTGGTGCTGAGGAATTGAACCCAGGGCCTCATGCATGCAAGGCAAGCACTCTACCACTGAGCCACCTTCCCAGCCCTCCATATGAATTTTTACATCAGCTTGTCAGTTTTTGCAAAAAAGC